GATAAAATGGAGTTTGAAGGCATTTTGGTTTTGGTGTCAGGGTTACGGTGAGGTTATGGTGAGGTTTGGGCTCAGGGTTAGAGTTAGGCATTCATGTTTGATGGTTATGGTTAAGGGAAGTGGCTCGGGAAATGTCCTCACTAAACTATAAAAACATGACTGTGTGTGTGTTTGTGTGTGCTTTCTTCTAATGACTATTTAGTGCTGACTCTCTGCCATCACACACATCACTGCTGTGTGGGGACTCTCACCTGCTACTGTCGGTGTTGTTGTGGATCTTTTTCTTTAAATCTGTCACGGTCCTGGTCAGTGACCCAGTGTTTAGTGTTCACTCTGCCTCCCTCATGTTTGTAAAACTGTAAAAACTGTAAAAACTTTTGGGTTTAGGGATTAACACAGTTGCCATTGTTTCCTTTCTTCTCTTATTTGTTGTGTGTGATCAGGACAATTCTGGAGAAGATGGGCCTGCAGGGGAAAGTCACCCCCTTGCAGGCCAGAAGACATGAGATAACTTTAAAGAATACAAAGTACGTATGTGTGTTATCAAGAAGATGATTCTTAAAAACACAAGTTAATAAATGTTCAATTACTAAGAGTTGTTGTTGTGTTTTTATTTGCCTGCTGTCATCTTTGATTTCCTGCCTTTAGGATTGCAAGTATCCAGGCTCAGGAGAGGAGGTCAGTGGGAAGCCCTCTGCTGTGCTTGGCCCTGGTTTGCCCTCATGGATGAGGTGATAGGACAGATGCCTTCCACTAAGCCTCCTGTCCTAATGTCCTCTCTCCCTGAGGACACTCCAGGGCCAAGCACAGCAGTGGGTGACCAAAACGACAGTGATGATGAAGCGGGTCAGCCACCTACGACAGGGAGGAAGAGGAGAAGAGATGATGAGCTGCTAGACCTCATCAGAGAGGACATGAGGCAGAGAGGCTGAGGAGAGGAGAGCAGGGAGAGGATGGACCGACTGTTTCACTTCTAGAAAGATTAGTTCTCAAATGAGTTATGTACTGAGAAATGTATTTATTTGTTTATTTGTTATATGTGTTGCATTAGTTTAAAGGTTTTATGTTATTAATAAATTGATTCAAACAAACAGTAATTGTCACTGAACTCAATTTGATTTACAGGCATTTTTAACATGTATGAACATAACGCGAACAATATTACATGGATATTTATTTGATAAAAATAAATAAATAACAA